TTTGGCCACTCGGAGGTGAATCGTACTTGCTAGTCACTTTGAAACCAGCCATTATTCACGTGTGTGGTATACGCTAACACCTAATATTCCTCAATTTTAACCGATGGATCACATTAATTGGATCACAAAACAATCGGGGCGTACGATAAGCATTACTCACCTGTGTGGTCTATACTAATACCGGAAATTCCTCAATTTTAACTAATGCATATTGAATCACGAAACGCTTTTAGACCAATCGCGCAAAGGAAACATTTGATGGACTACAAATTATTAAATGAACCAGGGTAATAAAACACATCATATCTCAATTCATTTTCAGGTAAGGATTTGCCATGGCCAGCTTGAAGCTGGTGAGGTGCCGATCCATATGCAAGAGCAGCCGACCTCAGTCGCAGCCCAACCATTGGTGGCTTTTCCAGACACTACTAATTAGTAGCTACAGTTGAACCTTAATTAAGCCGTCACCATGTATTAAACTGTCAGTTGCAATCGTCAAAGTCTCGAATTTTTTATCCCTTAATCACTGTGAAATGTACCTACATTAAGCGGTCACATCTATTCGGCGGTCGCCGTCACCGTTTACTCAACGGCCTGTTTTTTATTGTCTTTCACTTTCATTGGACGGTCAATAAAAGCGAAACCACTCAAATAAAACTAAAGATACTATTTTAATTACTTTTTATCTATGTTTCTCTACAACAATAAAAGTAAGTAATATTTGCAACCGACATTCTGCATATGAAGTGGGCAATTAAGGCATAAAATGGCGTTTTTATCGTTTTTAATGATACCCTGATCAGTGGAACCTGAATTAAGTTTTCAAACTGTTTAAGTGGTCACTCAACCACTCCCCGTGGGTAACCGGTTAATGTAGGTTCGACTGTATTGTGAACACCCTTATTAGCCCTAGAGGGTATCATTCACTTCCCGGTAGCCGACAGAAACTAATCTTTCTGGTTTATGTATATGGCATATTCTACTAAAACGGTTATTCACCTCAGTATCAGTAAGAGTGGTAGATATTTACCGAGCTGCGAAGCTGCGAGGTAAATATCCACCACTATTCACCTGTACTTTCGGTGAATAATTTTTGATTTAGTTCACGGGAGTGGGTTTTGCGAAATAAATAGGAGAAAGCAGATAGGGGAATGGTAAGGCGTTCGAGGGTCCATTAGTAACCGGATGATTGACAATTTCATTATGCATGTTTGATTTGCCCTTGAACTTTGCAGATTTACTGCTCTGTGCTTCCACTGAGGCGATTTAATTTAGCCTTGCATTATGCCGTCGGATTTGATTGCGCTAAGCTTATACATTGTCTAGATAATTTCTTTATGCATGTTTAATTTGTACTTGCATTCTGCAGATTCACAGCTTTGCGCTTCCCCTGGGATGATTTAATCTGGCTTTGCATAATGTCGAAATGATTTGCACCTTTATATCTTCCTAATCATTTTCTTTACAGTTATGTAGGGCTGGCAAATTGCACAATTCAGATTTAATTTGTCCTTGCATTATGCAGATTCGATCTACAGTCGTACCGTGCTAATTTGGCTTGTACCTGCATTTTGCTGATTTGTTTTCCCGCTTGAATTGAAACCTCGGAATTGTTTCAGTCCTATATGAGAACACTTTCGATGGTTAATCATTTGCCTTGTGTCTTCTCCAGCATTTGAGCTTCCACGATTTACCGAAAAATTAAGATAAGGCAGATTTATATTAAATGAGTCGGGGAATTTCTCTTGATCAACTCCGGGTTTCATATATTATTAGTTGAATGTGGTCCATGTCACCGAAACTCGAACTTTCGCGAATCAACCGTCTCTTCCACTCGACTAGAATGAGAGGTTCTCCTGGAGCAAGCGTTACAAAATATAGAAAACAAACCGGTTACTATGGTTTTCGCATTTCTTGATGTCACGACTTTCTGAGCTCGAGAACGCTTTCAATATCTGTTCATTCTCTTACCCAGGCTTCTCGGATGAAACCAATCGGGACTTTAATTAATGCAATGCCTAATTTGAATGTACGTGATGACTAGCCATTTCCGCATTGACTGCGTGGATCAAACAGCACGCGTTTTGATCTCCGTGACTGAACTGACTCGAAATGACTTTCAACAGAAACGACTTGAAGGTGATCTCCAACATCCAGGTTATCATCTGTGGAGTGCTTTTCGTTTTGGGGCTTATTGATGGTCTCAGCGTGCGTTTTATGTATTCAAGTTTGACTTTCACCCCCTGTTGGATAGCGATCCTTGTAAGTAAAAAAATTAGTCAGAAAAATTGGTATTTTGAGTTAAGGTTAGAGTAGGTATTTAACAACTTCTCGTCTCGATATTTCGAAGAGAAATTCTTGTGCGGCACCAAAATTGCGAAACCTTGTGGATATTGAGTGCAAGCAGTTTCTATTTATCAACTTAACAAAACTTGTTAACTGACTCACATGCCCAAGAAAATGGAATGGAATTGAACTTGCATGAGAAAATAACTGCACGTTATAGTGTTTGATTTATCTCTGCGTCGACATACTAAAGAAAGAAATTGTATCGGGAAAAGAAGGCCTTTTATGATCTATGATTTTGCAGCAAAAGCAAACAAGGACCGACTAGTTACGAACCAGTGATTCAGGTCAATCCTGGCGCATACTGCAAACTAAACCAACCACTAATTGAATAAATAATTTGTAATAAAGTGTGTCATATGCCTTCAACTATGAATAAACTTTTCGTCAAAATTCAAACCTTCAAGGTTTGAATTTTTAAATAAAAAAACATATTTCACAAAGTGTAAAGTAACGTAATGATATGGGATTTAATGTTGTTATTACTTCTCAAATATCGTTTTCAAGAAAGTTTCCGCCTAGTTCGAAGTGGCTTAGAACACGCCACGGAAAATTGCGGATAAACTGTTTCGTTCTTCACTTCACTTATCGCTAGATAAATTATAAAAAATAAAAAAAAACTAAAAGGTATCGATCTTTCAAACACAGAGGCAAATGAAAGTTCGACCAGTTCTTCACTCAAACGATATTTTAGCGAGCAGGTGTAACGCAAGTTTTATTAACGTTGTTTTAATGATATTTGTCAGTATGATAAGTGGTCAGACCAAATGTAGTCCCAAGACAACCGGCCCACAGTACAATTCCAATCTATCAACGGTCATGCTCAAAAAAATTCGATGCCGAGTTATGCCACAGTACTTAAAGGTGTCGATGGTAACAGTGTTGTTTTCGCAACAATTAACAGCGACCGTGCAGGTTTACCAAGCGTTAAAAAAGGGAAGAAAAATCGAAAAAAAAAAGTTTACTAAGGGAGTCCGGTAAGATTTGTATTCTTGTCTCGAGTGAACACGTCTTTTAGTTTTTATTTTAAAGTTTGCATAGCTGTTTAAACACTACCAGAGGGAAAACACTCAAGAACTCTCAGCCAGACCAAACATTTTATGCGTGTTAAACATCTAAGCGATAGACCGCACCTTCTATTGGTTTACTGGCGTAATAACTCACGCGGGAGGACACGAGAAAAGGTTTTTCATTATAAAAAAGCGAAGGATTTACAACCTGTGCAAGTGTTCTTCTAAATCATGCAAGATGAATATGTACGCATTGTGTGAATGCTTCACACTC